GCAATTTGTTGCATCTAAAACAGCATAATATGAGCGCAGTGCTTCTTTATTGTCATGACACTGAATAATGTTAAAGTTATTACAATAATTATGACCTGTCTACCGAACAAGATTTCACAGAGCTGCCCTGTACTTTATAAAGGTTTATTGTTATCCCTCTCTCTCTCTCTCTCTTTCTCTCAGTGTGTGTGTGTGTGTGTGTGTGTGTGTGTGTGTGTGTGTGTGTGTGTGTGTGTGTGTGTGTGTGTGTGTGTGTGTGTGTGTGCTTGCACAAAGAAAGACTCTAAGAAACTAAAATTGCTGATAGTCTTTCTTTATCAATGGTAAGCCTGAGGGAGCAAACACTGAGAAGGAATAATGAATACACTGTCCACTGCCCAAACAGGAGATTACATGAAGCCTGTTTAAATTGCAGCTAAACATGGCGGAATTTAATACTTTAGTATACTTATCAGTGTATCGTGATACATAGATAGGCAGACAGGTAATCATCACCTTCACATACCTTGCAGAGCTGTGACTCATTGCCTTGTGTGTTACTAGTTTTTTCCCCACCTCACCCTGTGGAGTCTCTGCAGTAGCCTTGGCAGGTTTCCTGCAGTGGCGATGAAGCGGAGTCTCTGTTTATGATATGTCTCATGCCAAAGTGAGACGTGGACCTCATGTGGCGCCTGAGATTGCAAAACATGCAGTAGCAGAATTGGATTGCAGACGTGCTTTGTGCCGCCAGTCAGCAAGAGCTTAATCGAAGTGTGTGACCGATCTAACACAGTGCTGTGTGTGTGTTTGTATATAAACTTGTGGGATGTATGTTAATGTACTGAAGCTTAAGTATATGTGAGGATAAAATCAGTACAGATATTGTAGTAATCTTAACAGGGATAAAGTTCAAACATGAACATTTACTGCATTTATTTCTAGTTGCACAACACATTTTTTTTTTTTACGTGTGCCCAGTCTATTCCCTATGTGCAGTTAAAAAGTGACAGGATAGAGCAAATTAAAGAGATTAAGCAGGAGAAAGTGTGTGCATATTGCCTACCCATGCTATTTTCTTTCTCTGGAATCACTGTGTATAAAATGTAATTTGTGGAGACAATTATGTGTCACATTTGAGAAAATTAATTTCCTGAAATGCTCCATCACAATGCATTTTTATGAAGAGGCCTTTCTTTTTTCCCTACTCGTCTCACTCATGCTGCCCCTGGCCTTCCTGCATTGTGTTTTTCATGGAGCAACAATTATTTTGAAACGAATTGTTGTTTTTCCACTTGCTGTCTATACAGAACACTGCCAATCAAAACACTCTTAATGCTTAATGACTGGGGACCAACATGACTGTTTTCCCACTGAATTATGTTGGAAACACTTTTGTACTCAATGACCCTCACAACTTAAGGGACAAATCATTTAAAATAACTATACAGCTGATGTAATTCTTCCATATCTTCAAGCACCATATTTTGTAGGTGCAACGCATACTGATGCATCTGTCAGTTGAAAAGTGTTTGCCTCAGACTATTTGTCTGGAGGAACTTCGGGTGTGTGTGTGTGTGGGGGGGGGGGGGGGGGGGGGGGGGGGAACTGGACTTTTGATATGAGTCACTGTCTGAATGTGATATCCAGGGTGAGTCTCCTGGACCTGAAAGCAAAATTGGAAGCAACTATATATTGGTTTGGTGGGGGAAAAACTGTGCTGAATAAATTGGTTGTAGCATTACATGTGGAGACAGTGTCTAACACTGGTGAAAAGCCTATTCCAAGTGGAAGGGACCCTGCTGCAAAAGGTTTGGCCCCCAGCTGTTCGTGTGTCCTTTTACAATACTAACAGCAGTGCTTTTGTACAAGACATCCATGGGTATATGTCTCTGAAGATACTAAATATGTTCCATGTAAAATGTTCAAGCGCCACATCAGTGTTTTGACATATTTTAGCCATTTTATCCTGTTTATTTTACATTTTTACCAATGATTTTCAATAGCATATCAAGGGTTTTAGATAGATGAATGATGAATGCATGCATTGTTTTCCAGACAGCTATTACTTTGTATTTAAACAAGTATGGCAAAGTAAGATAACTTCTCACATACCTGAAGAAGGTAATCCTTCACAGTGAGCATTATATACTTTTTAAGCCAAAACAGATTGATACATACTTTATTATTGTCATGCAACAGTGTTGGTGGTAATTGTTTTGCTACAGCATGGTAACTGTCACCATTACAATAAGGCACACAAAAAGGTAACACATGAATGTGAAAATATGTACAATGAAAATATATGATATGTACAGTTCAATTCCCCAGCATATCAAGTAGTCCAACAGGCAGAAAGCACAATGATTGATATACTAGTGCAAACATGTCCAATTCGAGTCCAGTCCAGTGCCTGCTGAGCAATTCAGCTCAGTATATAGGATCTTGTGGCATGAGGAGCTGGCAAGAGGAGTTAAAGGGATAGTTTTGGCTGGATGAGGTTCTTATCTATAGTCAGTGTATTACCTGCTGTAGATGGCAGTTATAGCACAGCAAAAATTATTTTAGCCAACTAAAAGAAGGCCCACAAAAAAAAGCAATATCAAGTAAGTATATATATATATATATATATATACACATACACACACAAAAAATAAAGGGAACACTAAAATAACACATCCTAGATCTGAATGAATGAAATAATCTCATTAAATACTCCTTTCTTTACATAGTTGAATGTGCTGACAACAAAATCACACAAAAATTATCAATGGAAATCAAATTTATCAACCCATGGAGGTCTGGATTTGGAGTCACACTCAAAATCAAAGTGGAAAACCTCTTTGTATGACCTCCCTACAACGCCTGGGCATGCTCCTGATGAGGTGGCGGATGGTCTCCTAAGGGATCTCCTCCCAGACCTGGACTAAAGCATCCGCCAACTCCTGGACAGTCTGTGGTGCAACGTGGCGTTGGTGGATGGAGCGAGACATGATGTCCCAGATGTGCTCAATTGGATTCTGGTCTGGGGAACGGGCGGGTCGGTCCATAGCATCAATGCCTTCCTCTTGCAGGAACTGCTGACACACTCCAGCCACATGAGGTCTAGCATTGTCTTGCATTAGGAGGAACCCAGGGCCAACCGCACCAGCATATGGTCTCACAAGGGGTCTGAGGATCTCATCTCGGTACCTAATGGCAGTCAGGCTACCTCTGGCGAGCACATGGAGGGCTGTGCGGCCCCTAAAGAAATGCCACCCCGCACCATTATTGACCCACCTCCAAACCGGTCATGCTGGAGGATGTTGCAGGCAGCAGAACGTTCTCCACGGCGTCTCCAGACTCTGTCACGTCTGTCACATGTGCTCAGTGTGAACCTGCTTTCATCTGTGAAGGGCACAGGGCGCCAGTGGCGAATTTGCCAATCTTGGTGTTCTCTGGCAAATGCCAAATTTAGCAGTTTTTAGTATTTACATCGGAGATGAGCAGTGCCAAAAACACTCTAAGAAAACCTAAAAAAACTTTCCTAAACCCAAAAGGTAAAGAAAAGACAAAGCTCTAAACTAGGCTTGTCCAAAGACAAGGAGAAAACGGTGCTAACAAAAAGGGCTTCTCAGTCCTACTCACTGCTAGTTGCTGACGCAATATAGCTAAGACAAAGAAAATTGCTTCATAGCAAACAAAAATGGCAAAGCCAACAAAACCAGGTTGTCATAAGACAATCAGAATGGCTACTTACAATCCAAGTCTACTATACTCAGTTCACTACGTACAATGAACACAGACATAACACAGTACTCAGGCAGGTTGGGAATGGCAGAGAGGGGGAAGAGTTCCTGTCAGTGGGGCTTAAGATGGCTGCTGTCATCTAGGTGCCCAATCAGGAGGCTCCAATCAGCTCTACCGGACCACCTGTTCTCCAGTACCTGCATACACTCACACACACTCTAAGGGAGGAGAACAGCTGACAGTGCAGGGAGAGATAAACAAACAACAAAATATGAATAAACAATGATATATATATATATATATATATATGAACATGGTTGTTCTACGGTTGAGAAAATGTAGTTCCAAAGGAAATGGCTGTCTGATATCAAGATAAATATTCTAAATGTAATGTCTTTCTATTTATTCCGGTAGGCTTTCTTTTAGGTGGCTGAACATGATGCCAGAAACGAACAAATTCTCTGTTCGCAGCATACCTCTTTTGTTGTCTTATAGGTTTTATTTTCTGACTAGCTTTTGAATGCACTTAAAAACCCACAGTAAAATGTGAAGTCTTTTTGACCACTCAAAATGCTTTTACATTACATTCACTGAGCCTAAGTGCTCAAGCAGAAACTAACAATCACACACATTCATACACTGGCGGAACAGCCACCAGGGGAAATTCGGGGTTCAGTATCTTCCCTGAGGACACTTCAACATGCAGCCTGAAGGAGCCAGGGATTGAACCGCCGACCTCCCCATTAACATGGAACCTGCTCTACCTCCTGAGCCACAGCCGCCCCCAGTATACCACAATGTGAGGTGACTGGCAGCTTAAGGATTTCCAAAAGCTTGTATGGACATGTAACTCGCATCAGGACAAACATTGAGACACTGTGCTCAAATATGGCGCATTAATAAAAAGGCCAAGGTATACTGTAAGACTGTTTACATAAAAACATCAGGAGGAAAGAAGTCAACTGGGAGCCCCAACGAGAAGATGAATAAATCATTATAAAATGATTATAACCATAACATAACCCTATAGAGTTTCCATGAGGAACACTGAGGTTGTGCCCACATTACTGCTCTATTACATTTGTGTGCTTTCAATTTAATCTGCCTTGTTGGATATTATAGTAACCTCTAGCAGTAGATGGTCTATAGAGTGCACTCACCTCATTCTGTTGTCTTAATTACAACCTATTGTGTAGGGACTAATACTGGATGGTGGGACCATGAACCCAGCTGCTTTGGTGGTAATTCTGGCAACCAGCAGCTTTGTCCACTGACAATATCAACCTCTCCTCTAGGTAGTGCACCAGCATCTGCATCCTTAGACTGTCTGGTGGCGGAGCAGGGTTGCATCCAGGAGCAGTCCTGCATGGTGCTCTATCGACTGCTGGAGTACTGTGCAGCTGAGGAGGCTGTGTCGCCCCTCGGCTCAGACGCCCGCATGGAGTGCCTGGAGGCCCAGAGCTCCTTGCAGCATTACCGCCCCCTTCAAGTTTGCAAGTGTCAGCGTGGCTCTCGCAGGGAGGAACACTGCCTCAGGGTCTATTGGACTGTGAGATTTGCAGGTGGGTTTAAGCATTGGCATCTGTGTGTCTGTGTGTGGGGGGGCTTTTTGAATTCTCAGCTGCACAGTCCATGTGACAATACTCTTCACTGTTGTTTTAGCATATGATGAGTATGAAGTGTCTCCATATGAAGAACTGCAGTTAAATCTAGTGAGAAACATTGAGATGTCACGTATGGCGTCCATCATGGCAGGTACTGCTCTTATCACAGATATTTAAAAGTTTGGCAACCAAATCACTGTATGTCATGATTTTTATTTCCTGATATACATTACGCTCTTTTCTTCCTGACAACCTCCAGTTTCCTCTCTTTCTGTGGATGGCCAAAACCAGTGTCTGAAGGCAGCCCAGGACTGTGGCCTGTATGAGAAATGTGGCTCCCTGCGCTCAGAATATGTTGTGGCCTGCACCAAGCGAGCAACAGTCTCTGACAACAGCTGTAACCGCCAGAAATGCCACAAAGCCCTGCGGCGCTTCCTGGAGCGCGTGCCAGAGGAGTACAGCTTCGCTCTGCTATTCTGTCCCTGCTCTGACACTCTGTGTGGGGAGCGTCGGAGGAAAACCATCGTCCCTTCATGTTCCTATGAGGAGAATGGGAGAGGGGAGGAAAGACTGGGCAAGCCCAATTGCCTCAGCCTGCAGAACTACTGCTCCAGAGACGAGCTGTGTAGGTAAGACGAGTGGGTGTGTGTAATGATACAGTATGTCAAATACCCTTAATAAGGGCACAGCACTGAAGAAGATTGTCAGCAGAAATTCAAATTTCACGATGTGTACTACAAAGCACAAGATATAAAGAATCAGAAAATGTGCCACAAATACCTAAAAGGTAAGCACAAAGACAGTCTACAAAAATGATAACATCAAAGTGAGTTTTTAACCACTAGTGGCAATGTTGAGCGGTATTTTGATGAGTGGGTCGCTCTTTTGTTTGTATCTCATGTAGGGCTGCGACTAACGATAATTTTCTTTCTTTGATTAACCTGATGATGATTTTATCGATTAATCGCTTGGTCTATGCAACTTCAGCAGGGATTTTTCCTGGCTCAGAATGAGGCGGAGGTGCACCCTGCCCTCAGCTAGCTCAAGCAAACAGTTTTTACAAGCAGAGCTTTTGAAGAGTGAGAGAACATGACGTTTATACTGTTAAAGCATATTTTATAAAAAAATAAGTAAAGGTACGCTGTTCAACATTAAATAAAATACAACATAAAAGCTAATGTGTTATTTAAACAGTTAATAAAACAGCAAGTTTAAAATCAAATCAGATATAACATTGTTTTCATTTATAGTTCAGTTCTCTCCCAGTGTAGTTGATGTGAATTCCTGGATATTAAATGTTCTGTACTGGTCCCAGTAGACATGGTTAAGCTCTGCTTGAGACTGAGAACGTGACCACAAGATATACTGAATATCTTGCTAAACAATTTGATCCTGCTGGCAAAATATTGTTTACACATATGTGGATCTCCTCCTGTTTTTCAAGAAGCATCTGTATTTTAAATAAACCACTCACACTTTTAACAGACTATAATTTTTTTTTTTATATAACTTATTTAATTTACTTCCTAATTTAAATGATTTGCTTTTCTCAGTATATGTGGCAGTCATGTTCTCAGATGTAGGTTTTGTAAGGAACTAATATGATTTTCTACAGATGTCTGTTTGAACTTTTGTTTTCGATAAAGTGGGAAAAAAGTTGATTCAAAAACTTTAAACTACTTCATGTCATTACACTTGACCAGTGCAAACAAAAACCAACTGCCATTTGCAACAGCATTTTTAAGTCCCTGCTGGCAATATTAAGTATAATAAAACACTGAACAGCAGGGAAAAGCAGTTTTGTTTTCTTTAGTGATTTTTTTGCTGTGTCGTTACCAGTGGAAACACTGTCGCGCCTCTTTATTTTGAAAGCGCTGCAGTCCAGCCAAACAGACGGCTCTTTTCTTCCTCTCTGAAAGTTTTGGCACCACATCAGCATAATGCCAGAAAAACACAAAGTGCAATGCTTGCAAGAAATTTGTGTTTACCATGAAGACACTGTCAAAGGTTTTGACGAGAACTGTAGGCGGGACCAAATTAGACGGAGGCACTGCCTCGTAATTGTCTTTGCAGAAAAAACCCTGATCAGAAAAAAGTTAAATTTGCCCATCACCATTTGCCAAAGTGACGTTTTCAAACAACTTTTGTTATCTGACCAACACTCTAATTCAGTTTACTGTAATACAAGACAAGGCAAAGTAGCAAATTCTCACATCTCAGAAGTCGTGTTGTGCTTTTGTCGTTTTTGGTTTTTCCAGTGAAATAACCCCAAATATACCATTTGATTAAATTATGTACTAGCAATGTCAACCCACAGGTGATACCTGTCAAATCTGATCAACATTTGTCAATAGATAATTGGATAATTGCTTATGAAGAACATAACCCAAGCAGTGATTTTCGACTAATGCTTCATGTTCTATCTCCAGTGCTGTGCGCTAATAGCGAGTAATAAACATGAATGTGTATTACATTACTGTGTCTTCCAGTAATGGAAATCAGATCAATAGTTCTTGCAAGCTATATAACGTACCTTGGTATCATGCTGTTCCACTGATCAACATTTGATGCAAACAAAGCAAGGGTCAAAATATTTTTTTTGTAAAAGCAGTTTGCTTTTAGTGGCCCAGAATTCATGCTAAGATAAGTAAGTAAGATTATAACTAGGCTAATTTTAGTCTGTACTTTCTCTGCATATTGTTCATGAATGTAGAGGACCTGCTTACATTAATTACAGTCTAGTCTGTGTGTAAATGTTACAGAGGTTATTAAAGAGTTATTTGAAACTGAGAAGGTCATGTAACATTCCCCTCTGTAGTAACAGATTTTAAACAAGAAAAAAAGGGGCCTTTAACTATTGCTGACATGAGGTTGCTTTGTTCCACACGCATGGCTACCACATGTTCCTGCTGCAATGTGCGGGCAAGCACAGAAACATATATTCATATAGTGTCTTCGGTTTTATCTGTTGATATATTATTGTAGATATGGTATTGTAGACCTGCTCTAGATCATTGGTGTTTTAGACTGTGTGTGCATGTTTAAAAGAATAATTGTGAACTTCAGGCATCTACTTCTAATCTATAGCTTGTAAACCTCTGAGAAGAGCCGTCACTGTCCACAGTGCGGATATCAATAATACCAATAATTGTAAACAAGTAAAACTGCTGTGACAAAACTACTGTATAGGTGTACAGTGCAATAAAGTGCAGTATTAGCTTTACTTTTCAGAATTTTTTTTTGATTAGGTCATCCAAGTAGGTGAGGTGGTTGGTGTTAGTGGGCTACTGAAATGTCTATGAATTTTCTACAATAAGACGTTTTTAATGCAACATGTAGTTTTGCGAGTGCACAGCTTTTTCTCTGTTTTGTGTTTTGAGATTGTACACTGTCTTTATTTTAGATCGACCCCGAATCCCAAAATTAAATAGTAAAAATAATTTAAAATGCACACTCTGCTTCTCTGTGCTGACACATAAAAAGCTGTTTTCTCTTCTGTGTTTCTGTCCATGTGTGTTGTATTTGTTTGTGTGTGTGCGTTTCAGATCCCGGTTTGCTGATTTCCAACACAACTGTCAGCCCTCCCCCCTGTCTGCCTCTGGCTGTATGCGAGAGAGCAGAGCCATGTGCCTGAAGGCCTACGCTGGACTCATAGGTGAGTTGGAGGAAAAGAAACTATAGAGGTAGAAGAGGCTGAAAGAGAGAATAGTTTAGAAAAAAAAAAACAGACAGCTGCTCAAAGGACTCGTTATTGTAAATCATGAGTAGGTGTCTAACAGTGATATTTAGCTTTCATTTTCTTGCGCAAAATAACTCTACAGGGATTCATAAATGGTCACCGGCCAAAAGCTGCTGCTCTGGGGATCCAATCAGCATCACTTTAAAAAACTTGATTTAAAAATTGCCCTTCCAGCAGCTCTACAAAATGATCCAGGTAATATTATTTCCTTCTGTTTCCCACACTGTATTTTTCAAAAAGTAATTTCATGAACCTGCAATTATCAATATCGAGAGGTGGAAAACTGGTAACACCGGATCCCCAGGGCACCAATATTGTTGGTAGACTGTGGCTTACCTTCCATAGAAGTGTGTGCTGAAAATGAAAATCTTCTGCCTAAGGGAAATATTCCTTTAAAAGTTTGTAAAGTTGAGCATACGACTTCTTTCTACTACCAGGTACGATCATGACTCCCAACTATGTGAGCAACAGCAGCACCGAAGTGTCCCAGTGGTGCACATGTGACGGCAGCGGGAACGAATGGCAGGGCTGTCAGCGCATCTTGAATTTGTTCAGCAACAACATATGTCTGCGTGAGTAAAATGTCATGAGGTTACAGCATGCAACAGAATATATCTTCAGGGCTGCACGTCCATAGCAAGTAATAACAAAATAATAATACAGATTGGAAGTTTCCTGCATGAAATATTTGCAGCTTCCTGGCAATATACACAGTGACGTTTCAAGCTAAAAATAATTAATTTCAACCATGATAATAATGTTTATGTCACACACAAATACACAACTATTTTAATTAAAAATGAGAGATTTCTATTTATGATTTAATATCATATTTCTCACATGAATGTTGGTCGTGTCAGGAATATTCATGACTTTTTATTCTAACTTTAAGAATCCGTTCACCTACTTGGCCATTTTCTGTATGTTGATCACATGTTGTTCATACTTCAGGGTTTTGTTGCAATTTCTCAGCTCATGTCAGTAAATTGGACTATTACTGTTACACTTTGTGGTATTGAAACAAGTTCCTTAGAGTTTTGAGTGGAAGCATGAAGCTTGATTATTCTTGCAAAGCCAGAAATTTGAGTGACAAATGTCTTTGAATTTCAGAGACTGTTCATTTTCAAGGATCTCATGTGAAATAACTGTCAGTTCTTCCTGTGTCAAGATAATGAAAGAGGAAATGTAACATTTTAGCTGTCAAATCGGAGGATAGACTAAATAAATTGATAGCGATATTTTATAATGGGCATCAATACAGAATTCAGATGAGTTGGGTTATAATTGATAATTGAGAGGGCAAACCATTGAACCGTAATGTTTTCTTATAAATAAATAAATGGCAAGTCAGAGACTGTCTCGTGTCTGGTTGGCTGCCAAATGAGGATGTGATTTCCAAGTACTGTGGCGTCAATTATTCATTTCTCCAAATTTGATAAACATAAAGTGGCTTCTTGTTGAATCGTTGCCAAACCAGCAGGGTGGAAAGAGCATTAAGTGTAGACCGACAAACAATCCAGTAGATGAGGCAGTAGATGTTAATTTTACTCAAGGTTTGATTTTCATCACATTATTTCTCCTAGTCATCCAAAATTACTGTTTAGGGTAAAATTAATTGTGACTGCACAGTACTGCAAACAGAAGATAGAAGAACAAAGGGGGCATAGATTGCCCTTTTTCAAGTAACCTCTACTTTCATATTTATTTGCCTTATCCTACCTTTTTGCTAATGTTAGATAAGCTAAAACTACAATGGATCAAAACGTAAATTTTCTATGCAGTCTTAATCTGGATACTGTGTGCAGTTGGGCAGTTTTGTCATATAGGGTAAAAGCAAGCTCCTATGAGGATATAGCAGTGCTTTCAGCTAAATGCTGACATGCTCAACAAGCCCTCAGGAACGAAATGGCTGCACATGGTATTGATATTTCCGGTATCGTCAGGTGATGCACACTGGCCCAAAAAGCTCCCCCCCACCCACCCAAACACACAATAATTGGAAAAGGAGTGGCTGTAAAAGGGTTTTCTGGGTATCACAGTCTCTTTGTGATCAGAAAAGTCCAGAAAAGTCAATTATTTTATCCCATTCATGAGTGTGGAGCCCACAGGAAGTCAGCCAGCTTATGCACATGCTCTATAGGCCAAAAAAAGGATTTTTATTGGGATATGTGCCGAGTGAGCAATTTTCATTGGAATGAACAGTGGTGGAAGAGGTAACACCAATCTTTTACTGAAGTAAAAGTAGCAGTACCACTGTGTAGATATAATAATTAATAATTAGTAAAAAGTACCGAAGTATTAGTATTGAAACATACTGAAAGTACCAAAAGCAAAGTACTCATTAGTAATGGGTTATAAGTATTGATGCATTAATGTGCAACATGTTCTCATCTCAGGGCGTCAAATACTGACACTTTGAGAAAGCCTGACAAAGCTTCAGTATTTTATGCATAAGGTATCCTGGGATGAGACCGGACTCTAATGTGTCACTTGATCACTTTAATGTTGCAGCTGTTAAAGGTGGAGCTTATTTTAACTACTTTATTTACTGCTAGGCAGCTTAATCTATAATAATAATACATCATAAATTATTAGTTGATTCATATTTTGTATTAATAGAGTATAGGTATAAAGTAGCATAATTACTCAAGTAAAGTAAAAGTACCTCATAATTGTACTGAAGTACAGTACTCAAGTAATGTACTTCGTTACATTACACCACTGCAAATGAATGGGGTGCCATATTTGAACTTTATATTAATTCTCCTTAATACATCCATGGCTCATAATGACAACCCTATCATGCTAATGTTTACCATGGTTACCATCGTAATTTAAAATGTTGGCATACTAACAATTGCTAATTAGCACTAAACAAAAAGTACTACAAAGGCTGATGGGATTTTCAGGTATTTAATCAAAATGTACGACGTGTGAACCAGTTTTAACGGAAATCCATCCAGTAGTTGTAAAGTGTTGGACTGAGTGATATACTGGCATCTCTAGAGCCATGAAACTAATGTGGCTTAAAAGTACAAGTCATTTTCCAACCAACGTATTTAAATGTATTTGCCCAATAACGCACAGTATTTAGAGTTGGTAGCTTTAACTATTCTTTTAAAAGTCACTGATAATATTTTGGTGATGCTTCAAGGATAAATAACGATGTGAACCTAATGAAGACGGACCCTGCTGGTTCTGTTTCAGGCAATGCCATCAGCTCCATGGGAATCTCCGCACCTCCTCCTGTGGAAAACACTCCCGTGCCAGCTTCTCAGCCCCCCCCAAGAATCTACCTGGAGAGGGTCCACGTCAGCGTTAACACTCTTCCTGAATTCAACAGTGTAAGCGCTATCTTCTGCCTCACTGTCTCACCATATGCTAGTGTTAGACACTTGCTAGAAGCTGAATTGAAGAACAGGTTGACTAGATATCAGGTGGTAACACCTAAGTGTCACCAGGGACTGTAGGAGTGAGTTGGCCCAGCAGCTCCCTCCTCTACCCCTACCTCTCATTGTGGCTGAGGATTAGCTGTAGTTGTTTGCAGCATTACTCAACCCTTACTGTTAATATTCATGTATGCACACCCTTCTGCTCCATATTCCCCATTTTCTCACCATTTTAATTCCTTCTTCCTCCTACCCCATCCCACAAGCCCTTACAGCACTGAAACCCTGCACTGCTGGGCTGCATATTGGACACCAACATATACAGTTTTTTTTTAAAGATGATGCATCAGCATTTCCTAATTATTGTGTAGAATTGAATTTGAGATGATGCCTTCTCAAGGAATAAAACGGTTTCCTGTGATGTTATTAAGCTCTAAATTTGATTTAAGAAAAATCTCAAACTCAATTGCCTATTTACATTTTCAAATGCAGACTGAAAAATAGAACAGCAAGTGATCTCTAGTTTTGATTCCATGACACGTCAAGGGCATTTTGAATGAAGTTTACAAAATAAAACTGATTTGAGATATTGGGTTGTTTCAGCCAGTACACCCCCACAGCATCCTCTCTGTCTTTGTTCAAGTGGAGGCCTTACCGTATTGAGGGCCTTTTCAAAGCAGTTAGTGGGAAGAATATGTGAACTATAAAACCCTTCAACAGTGAGAGGCTGCTGAATTATGATACTATCCCTAATTCAAAGTGCAAACGCCAGTGAAAGAAGCAAACACTATATAAATTTAAGTTCGGTAAAAAGTGTGCTATTTTTCTGTATTTACTTTCCTTTCCTTAGTACCTTTTAGACAAAACTAGGGCTGTCCCTGACTAAGGATTTACATAGTCGAATCAGAATCGTCAAGTCCTGCCTATAGTCGACTGGTAGTCGAATCATACGTGTTTTTGTGCACGGTGATTGTGAGCTGAAGCTAAACTGAGGCTTATTGAGGATGACCATTTTCTCTCTCTCTCTCTCTTTCTCTTGCCCCTGCCATTCCCCGGTCTTGTGCAGAGTTTTTGCCGTGCTGCAACTGCATGCACATGGTGTCGCGGTTCCTCGCGGGTCTATTTCAAGTAGCGGCTGTTTAAAAAACGATATAATATTCTTTGTGTTGTTCATCAGCGGTGATGAATTATCCGAGGTGTGGACAACTCTGCACAACACTGGTGAAGCTGCGGCTCCATCTCTTCAGCAAGTGTTCCTGCTGCCACTACATACACTACACATTCACGCTACGCCTACACATGCGCATTGACGACCCAGGGTTAGGGTTACAATTTTGGATTTATTTATGCACTTTAAAAACATTTATTGGAAATTTTTCTTTTTATATGTTTATTTACAGCATTAAATGTTGAAATGAATATTGTAATAGGCTGTATATTAACTTACTGGGAGAAGACTGGTAGTTCTATGTAAAATCAGACATTGAGCACCCCCATATCGCCAAAATGGCACGATCCTTGTGTCGTTGCGAAGCTTCGACTGTGAGATTGACAGCTGAATCAGGCTCCACCCATCGAAGCAAATCCAACAGCCACCCCTGTTTGATGCACACTGGAAATGTCTCTGTACTATGTTTATATTTGTATTCCTGTTAGCACCAAACCCCAGTCAATTATTTTGGTGGACAGATTGGTTTTGAGCCAAGTAACTATCAAATAGATATATTGTTTAATAGTTATTGTTTTCTTAGCCACTGTGAGACTTTTTTTTTTTTAATAGATACCGCCAAATACAGATTCATTTTAAGTGTGGTAGCAAGTGCCTTGTTGCAAAGTTATCAATTATGAACATATAGTATGCTTCTATTCTCCAACACAGAGAATAAGAGCGTGGACACAATTAAGGTAACGATTGAGAAACATGATTCACAACAAGCTTTCAAAAGTTACCAAAGAAATGTAATTCTCTTATGGCATGTTGCGTTCAAATTCGTGAGCTTCTTGGCTGTTTGGGCAGCAGCTTCAGAATATTTTCAGTATCAAATTCTGTGTTGATGTGGACTTTCTCTTGAAGTTTACATCCTGAACTTCCCTCCATGCTTCACCACTCCTGTTAATTGGAAGAATCACTCTTTCCCCGCTTTTACAGATGGAAGACAGCGAGGAAGAGGAGCAGGAGGAGGAGGAAGAAAGTGAGGAATTCAATGTCATCCCACCGTATTCTGAGAAGGACTCTAACATTGAATCGGGGGCTAGAGGGAGTAAACGGGGAGCAGCTAGCCGAGCGGTACCTGTGTTACTATTACTGCTGCTGCCTACACTCATCCTGGACTGGGAGAGTGGGAGCTACTGAGGCCTCCATTTCATTCACCACTCATCTTTTACACTCGCTACCGCATCACAGCACTCAGAATGAACCACGGAGGACATATGTGAGGAATAAATGCTCTATTTCTTTTTCTTTCTTTTTTTTTGCATTTTTAAACCCCCCTTTATTTTACAATTCAGTTTCTCCTATTACTGCCTCCTCAAGAGCCAAAAGATATCAGTAGTCCCGCAGTATCAGCCATGGCTTTGCTCGAGTCCTCTCCTATAGAAACGAACTGAACAATGTGAGCAGATATGTGAGTGCATGGGTGAATTTAGAAATGCTGTCTGGGCAAATACTCTATCTAGAGCCTGCTTCAAACTCAAAGTACATCCCCTCTTTTAACAAGAAGCACATTGCCCAAGGCCACATTCACTATACACACTCCACAACCAGTCTACTCCACTCCAACCAGGCCCAAGCACTGCTTTTGATTTCTATTTCATGACTCATGTCACAACCGTTTCTCTGTTGTCCCTTTGGCTCTTCCGCTCCCTCCTTCATACTATGGTTGAGTAAGATAATCCACTTCAGAACAAGCTAATACGAAACTGTACTACACTTAAACCGCTTTGTACCATTTAAAAGAACTTTTAAAACTGCTTCATCTAAAATTCTTAAGACACAAAACAATGTGTTGTCACATTATGTTTGATCTCATGCCTTTTCAACCTTTGCTCCTTTGTGCACCATAAAGCAGAGTGCAACAGTCAATCTGCGCTGCTTCTTTTGTTAACACGCCACTTAGTATTATTCCTACCAGGGTGAGTGGCTAAGAATTCAACCACTGGCAAAAGTAATGAGATCAAATTCTATTGTAGAAATGACGAGCAGAGAAAAAGCAACATGAGCAATTACAGCACAATTCAAATTGCTCAGCACGCAGTGGAAGTCTGGAATAAGGCTCAGGGGAGGAAATAGCCAATTTACTGCTGTCATACCCTCTCACTTTTTTTTACCCCTAGGAGGTGTATTTTTAGTGTTCCTTCCCCATCATGTGCTTTAGATGTTGTGAGAGCGAGATGCGGAGATAGGGATGGACACAGGAGGCTGGAAAGCCTGCTGGCTGCTCTGATCATTGAGCAGCACATTGAGCCATTCTCTCTGCCTGAAATAGCTTTTGCTGATGTTAATGATTTTTTCTCGTATGGCTCATTTTCTTGTGAAATTATGCAGCTGTGGGGATGTAGGTAAAGAGAAGTATAGAGAAGTTTTTGTAGAGGGATAGTTTGCGAGAAAAAAACCTGTCTGAGCTCTGCGAGGATTTTATATTGTGGTTATACATTCGTTTTTACCTAAATTAACTGTTGTATGTAATGTTGTAATTGCAGTAATACATTGATGGGTGACTTCAAAGAGCTGTCCCCTGACCTCACCATCTTCAAACAGATCAGTACTGAACATTTCCAAAGACAAATCACCAAAAAACGAATTCTTAGATGTTTGAATATCACTTGAGGAGGCAGAATGGCCCCACCTTTTTTTACATGATGGTTTATTGACATAAAGACTGAACCTTTGATAAGGGCAGACAGTATAAAGGCAGAAACGCACTGGAAGCATATGAGCTATGTGATTGCAAATGCAAGTCCATCACTACTTCAAACTTGGGTTTGATTTTCACAAGTCAAAGTAGGACTTATATGGATGTTGTAAGGTTAGTAGAGCTGTAGTGATGGTTACCCACCTCAGGGCAAAATGACATCATGCCGATTTTTGACCACTTTCTTGTTGAGAGTTTGGCTACAGGGAGCTAAGAAGTGGGTGAGGAAAAGGCCAGTTAACAAAGCTCTGAAGTGTGACTGCAAGCTTAGTGGGTACAAGAAAATGACATACAGTATTTGGACAAAATATTTCAAATAAAAAGTCTGGCTGGACAACCAGCTGGTATCCAAATATATGAACCAGAACCAGGCCATAGAAGAGATGTGTTGATGAATAAACTAAATATTCTAAAGAAATACCCATCACAGTGTCACTGTACAGTATCAGTGACGACGCTTATTCCAATCTCTCAGCTGCAGTTATTCATAAAGTATCAAAGGAACAGCATCCTGCGCCAAGTGTCAATAACTGCATCCAGTGCGCTCTGGCCTTAATGACTGAATGTTACATGTGTTTTCAGATTTCAATAAGTTTGTTTATACTTGTAAAGTATGTAAAGTAAACATTTACATTAAACATGGCTTGTATTTTTTTGACGAGTTATGGAGTTTCAAAGAAAAATAGCTTATTCTCCATCCATAAGATAAAATATGTGAATATTCCCCAAATTAGACCATTTTTAGTTTGTATCTTGACTATGTACAGTACTTTGTTTCACACGCTAACCTTCTTTTAAAGACATATCAAACATGCCAAATAATTCTGACTGTAATGTGTAATAACTGTGTAATTTTGTGACAGAACAGAACAGTGTGCCGATTTGTTAAAAGAAGAATAAAAGTCACAATCGAAATTTCCACGTCTAACAGAACAAAAGTGCCTTTGAATGACCAAGAAATGACTGCTGTGTATGAACATTTTTTTCTTCTGATTATTTTTTTATTTTTTTTACGTTGCACAAATTGCACAGGAAAAAAACCTCATACATCCTGGTGGGATTGGGAGTGCTGACTGTCAATGTCAGTGTAAGTTGGTGAGTTAATCACCGTAGTCGAATTTACCTACTAATAATAATACTTTAATTCATTTCATTAAAAACTGAATGGTTTAGAAACTGTAAATAAAGATAAAGAAGTCGCTGGTTTTCTCTGGCCTACGGACACTTTTGGACAAACTCAGCCAGGACTCTCTTTATATATTACTTATAAAAGTGATTACAGGGTCTTGGGGCCTCTACATCCACAATGACACCACGGTGGCAGGAACAAGCTACAGTGGAATGATTTTGAGAAAAAAAAAGAGAGGCTATAATGTAAACTGGCATCGGCCTGCACTTTAATTATAGAAAGTACAGCATGAGGGCTCTGGGTCTTTGTTTTTTATGTCCAAATTCAGCCAGCCATCTACAAAGTTAAGTTATGCTTTATTAATCCCCATGAGGAAAATTTATCTTTTGCATTTTAACCATCCTAACTATTTAGGAGCAATGAGTTGCCACCAAAATCCCGAGTCCACGAGTGGTTGGGCTTTTTAATACAAATCATATATATTTTAAATCCCAGCTTAACATTTTGCAAACAGGTGTTGCTGGTTTCTATTCCTTTCTGTGTGAAAATCAACTCACAGACTCTTGAAACATGTTTTTTAAAAGTCCATTTTTGTGAAGTTTCATCATTGTTATGAAGTAATGCAGTGCAGACTTTTCAAATCAATCTGCACACACACTACATTGCCGTACAGTGATTTAAAAATATATTTTTAGATGTAAGGTGTGTAGGTGTGTGCTCACAAAAATTAAGGGAACACTTAAATCACTCATCAGATCTCAATGAACGAATTGGCGGACCTGCAACTTCTTCCGTGTTGTGACTATTTGGTCAGAAACATGTAGACCAGTAGCCTGCTGGAGGTCATTTTGTTGGGCTCTGGCAGTGCTCATCCTGTTCCTTCTCGCACAAAGGAGCGGTTACCGGTCCTGCTGCTAGGTTCTTTGGCCCTGTCGCCTGGTATCTCCTACATGATCTTGAGACTGTGCTGGGAGACACAGCAAACTTTCTTGCTACATATATGGATGTGTCGTTCAGGAGGAGCTGGACTACCTGTCCAACCTGAAAGCGCTGCAGGTACCACTTCATGCTACCAGTAGTGACAAGGACACTAGCAAAATGCATAACAAGAGAACAATCAGTCAGGAAGGATAAGGAGAGAGCAATTGTCTGTGCCCACAACCTGCTGTCTTGTTGTTGGCTCTCCAATGCACCATGGCCCCTTCATTTTCACCACACCAGGTGACATTGATTCACAATCGCTTATACTTCCTAACTGGACAGCTTGATATCCCTGAAGATTAACTGACTTGATGTTATACTGTGATGATTAAGTGTTCCCGTAATGTTTTTTGGGCAGTGTATTTTAGCACCATTGCTGCATTTGCCAGTTTTTGCTACAGATGATGCATTCAGGTGTGGGACAGTGAACTTTCCCTCTCCATGAAACCATAAAGCCAAGAAGGAGTGAACACAGCAGAGAACAACCACAACTCTCACAGCACAGCTCTATTTGGGTTCAAACTCAGGGCCTTCTTTCTGTGGGGCGACAGTAATCACAACTGAGCCACTGTGCCACCCCAGGAGGCACTAGAGCTGCCTAATATCTGAGCACTGTCCTGGTAATATCTATAAAAGATAAGCAGTTATGTTAATGTGGTTATTAATTAAGTAAATCAGTGCATTCCTTTGCAGATAATCCAACGTCAACATACAGTACTTGTCTTCACATATTACATGGAATGTACTAATATGAACTCAACCATGAACTCAGAATCCTAAATCATTGAGGAAAATTAGGTTTTCTTGTTAATATGATAATTTGTGCAGCAAGAAACTCCACTGTCTAATCACATCACCCACTTTGTTTCTCTCCAGTTTGTTAATACTGTGTGCTGGTTTTGTGTTTTCCCAAGAATTTGATACACAGGCATAGATTAAACATAAACAAGATTTACTTAAAATGTTAACACTAGCACAATTTGGTAAATAATAATTCTAGTAATGTAAACCTGCTTGCTAAAGCCAGGGCTGTAAGTGCAGGTTATGTGGACACAATTGGTCCAGAAAAGTCTCCGTAGGAGATATTTCCAGGCAGACAGAAACACAAACACCTCAGCAGTGTATTGCCATGTAATGGTCTCAGGGCGTCCATGGATGAAGTCCCTCTTCATCAGGTAAAAAAATGATTTAAACCAAGTGTATACAGATGAATCACACTGCTTCATTGATTTAAGCTGTAACAAAGTTCACTAATGTATGTGCATGATGCGTCATTATCAGCATGTCCTTTAGGCATGTTAGGATTTGGATTTTATTCTCAAAATAATTTTACTGATTTTAATATTATGTCTTAAGGACAGTGGTGTGAACCACAAATCTAAAAGGTCCTGTAGCAATGACACAGTGATCTAAGCTCTGATGACTTTCGTACATTGGCATGCACACACCGCTTAATATTTTCTGAAATTTTGGGAAATAGATGCAAATATGACCACTTAATGTGGCAATGAACAATGTTGTGTTCTGTGTTTTTGTTTTATTGTGACATAAATCAAGTCACTGTGAACTTTTTCTGTATTAAACGAGACCATGATCTTTCCCTAACCCAAACTAAGTGATGTGTGAGCCTAATATAACCATGAAAAAGCTTAATAATGCTGTTGTAAGATCAGATACTTTGGCAGAAAACAAATGAAATAGAACGGTCACTGAATATTTAATCGCTATGTTCAGTTCATCAACATTTATGCAACTTTCCATTTACATTAATTAACATTTCCTCATTAGTAAACATAATCTGGTCAGCATTAAAGAGGGTTGATTACTAACATCTCCTGTAGGAAAAGCTCAGGTGTAAATAATAAAAATTAATGATGGCTGAATTCCATTTAGCTGCTTTGGTTTAAGTGGTGTTGTGCATGCTAGCTCATGCAAATTTTAAGCGTATTTTTGAAATCTTGCAAAAAAGAAATTTGCGAAATATGTGCGTTTCCATCAGCTGGTTTGGAGCGAATAAACCAGGCTATGGCAAGCGTAGTTACGTCAGTAGTTGACAATACACATAAGCCACTCAGTTTGTCCAAAAGTGTCTGTGGGCTGTAATAAACAAGACGTATGGGTTCCAAACCAGAAACAAGAAGCATGAACCTGATGGCCATTGATCTTAGAAAAATGGAGAGAGGTCCTCAGAAATGTGTTTCAAGTGGGCAAGTTGCTAGCTATGTCTCCGCGCGTTATGGGAATATTCGGTGTTATGCGGTGTTAGTTTTGCATGCCTGCTGAGAATTGCATGCACCTCAAAATAATGCTTTTAAACGCTATAATATCCTTTGTGGGGTTCATCAATGGTGATAAATGATTCAAAGTATATATTTTATGAAAGTTTAGAGTCGTTAATATTTTATTACACTCAGTAGAAGTGGCATTCATTGAGATTCAGCAAAGATATGCTGTGATAACCCTGTTTGATCAGTGTGCAGAGCAAAGTATCTGAAAAGGACCTTTAAGAGGTGAATGCATAATTCAGTAGAACAGATGATGAAGGCTACATGCCGAGATTTGTATCCACCTCTTTTCTCAGCACAAATGAGCGTAGGTGCATAAAATTCTCGACAGGCATGCAGAACTCTGCACAACCGGGCTAGATGCTGACAGCAGAAACAGCTGATCAGTCGCTATGTCAGAACTTATTCAGAAAAAGTGTTTCCATCTTCCATTTCGTGTATTTACTCTTTTTCGACAAAGGCAAAAATCATCACAAGCGAGCGTAAAAACTTTTTGCAAAATTAAAGATTTTTTTCCAGATTTTGCCGTTTCCATCAACATTTTCTAATGCGATACTTCAAAATGCGCATTAAAAAACATTGATGGAAACACGGCATAATCCCGCAACCGTGTGTGCTTGCACATAGTTAGTAATGAAAAAAAAAGACCCTGACTTGTAACACAACAGCGTTGAAACGCCACTCCTGTTCTGACATGCCGGCTGTGGCTTTTTTCAAAGACATCGTTCCGTCTCTGTTACAACCAACATTCCCGGCTCAGGGGCGGAATCAAATCTGTGCCCCCTTTCTGGTTCCTACCACACCTGTGCATCGCAGCGAATCGACATATTGCCGTAATAATCCTGGAAAATAAGGTGGTGTGAAAGCACCTACTGAGGCACTTTAACAGAACAGAATCATCGTTAATGTTAACACCTGTGCTTTACTACCATGAGAAGGTAACATGTCTGCTGGGAAAAAGGCCCATTGGTCTTGAAGTTCCTGCCTTAGCCCATCATCCGATTTCCTGCCTACACACCTGCTTACAAGACCGGCCTCAGTCAGCATCAACCACTTTATTAGCTTTGTCAGACTGCCCTGGCTTTCAAACAGTTTCTCTGTTTTGCCTGCCAGGCTGTGGGTTTGTCTTTTTGACTGAATATGTTCTGAGATTCAACATCTCACCCCAATAGGTGGATGGGAGTTCAGAAATAAAAAAAAAAAAAGCAACTGCTTTGTTGAAATGGCTAGAATGAATCTGTTCAAGCTAAATCTAATCTCACTTGAGGCCTGTACTACAAAGCAAGTTCAGCATACCCAGGAGATCCTTTTCGTTATCTGGCTTCATTAACCCTAACAACAGCGATCACGCTAAGCGTTCACACAACGTTTGTTATTAACTCAAGTTAACACCGGGTTTCCCGAATCCAGCCGTGGGCATGTTCATAAAAAGGGGCGGTGTTTGCAGATTATGACCTATTGCAAACATGGACAAGTCTACTGGCAGCAGACAAATACAAAGAAATATAACACATATTCCAGG